TGAAGAATAACTTCAATGAAATACAGTTACTAATTCAAGATCTTCAACCGTCAGCATTATGTCTTCAAGAGACATACCTTAAAAATACTGATACTTTTAATTTAAGACGGTTTAGTGATTATCATTCCTTCTCCCCTCCAGGCAATAAAGCTACTGGTGGCGCCTCTATTTTGGTGCACCAGAGTGTCATTCACAGTCCTGTCACTTTAAATACGGATCTTCAAACTGTTGCTGTGCGTCTCACTCTGCACATTGCTCTGACATTGTGCAGCTTGTATATACCTCCTTCTTCAAATATTCAACAATCAGATCTTCAAAATCTGTTTGATCAACTTCCGAAGCCATGCCTCATCATGGGCGATCTGAACGGTCACAATCCGCTTTGGGCAAGTGACCATATTAATACTAAAGGTAAAATCCTTGAGGAATTTATTTCCGATAATCACCTGTGTCTATATAACGATGATTCTCCCACTTATCTACATCCAGCTACGGGAACATATTCTTCCCTGGATCTGTCAATTGCTGACTCCAGCCTGTATAATGAATTTGAATGGGTGGTCCATGATGACCTATGTGGGAGTGATCACTTCCCCACCATTCTCAAAACAGTCAGCCCTGGGGATGATCCACCTTTATCGAGAAGGAACTTTGCCAGGGCTGACTGGTCATTATATGAGACTCTGTGTGCTGAACAATTAGCTCATGATCGTTTTAGGAACAGTGAAGATCCTATTCAGTCGTTTTCTGATATCCTTAATGGCATTGCTGACAGAACAATTCCTCAGTCCTCTGCGGTTCCACATATTCGTAAACCATGGTTCAATAACGAATGTAAACAGGCCAGAAAGTGTAGGAAGAAAGCAGAAACATATTTTCGCCGACATCCTACTGTCCATAATTTAGACAGAATAAGCGTCAGTCTTGGCGAAACTATGTTTCAAAAATAAATTCTCGAACACCGATGTCAAAGGTGTGGAACATGATACAAAGAATAAAGGGCAAAGGTTCCAAATCTACCGTTCATCATTTGAAGGACGGTGATAATTTGTTAACTGATAAGGCTGACATTGCCAATAAGCTTGGTGAAACTCTCGCCAAACATTCGTCTTCATCCAATTACGTCCCTGAGTTTCAGAAACACCAGAAACAACAGGAGAAGAAAAGAATAAATTTTACATCAGACAATGGAGAAGACTATAATGAATTATTTTCAATGCATGAGTTACGTACTGCCCTTGAGCAAGCTCATGATACAGCAACAGGGGCTGATAATATACACTATCAGCTCTTGAAACACTTACCTGATTCATGTTTGGAAACACTTCTAAATATTTTTGATGCAATATGGACTTCAGGGAACTTCCCAACCTCGTGGCGTAAAGCCATAGTAGTCCCTATACCAAAGCCTGGCCGGGATCATACTGATCCGTCAAATTACAGACCCATCTCTTTAACGAGTTGTGTCTGTAAAACCATGGAACGAATAGTAAATAACCGATTAACATGGTATCTTGAAACCAATAATCTCATAACAAATATTCAATGTGGTTTCAGGAAAAATCGTAGTACCATTGATCATTTGGTACGATTAGAATCCTTTATCAAAAATGCTATAGTCAATAAACAACATGCAGTATCGATATTCTTTGATCTAGAGAAAGCGTACGATACCACCTGGAAGCATGGCATTTTAAAGGATTTACATGATTTTGGTTTAAGGGGTCGTTTACCTCTTTTTATATCACAGTTTTTAAAAGACAGGCAATTTCAAGTCCGAGTGGGTTCTACCCTGTCTGACCATTATAATCAGGATCAGGGTGTCCCACAAGGCAGTATTTTGTCTGTCACATTATTTAGCATCAAGATCAACAGTTTATCCAAGGTTTTAAATGATTCCATCGATGGATCACTTTTTGTGGATGATTTTAATATTTCTTGTCGCGGTAAGAATATGCATACCATTGAACGACAACTACAGTTGTGTTTAAACAAAATAGATAAATGGTGTCTTGAAAACGGCTTTAAATTTTCTAAATCAAAAACTAATTGCATACATTTCTGCCGTAAATATAAACCACATAAAGACCCGGAACTGTTTTTAAATGGCACTCCCATCAAGGTTGTAAAAGAGGCCAAGTTCTTAGGTCTGATTTTCGACTCCCATTTAACTTTTCTTCCCCATATCAAATCTCTAAAAACTAAATGCCTGAAGGCACTCGATTTATTGAAAGTCGTGTCTAATTCAAGGTGGGGAGGGGATCAAGCTACGCTCCTACACCTTTACAGGTCACTGGTCCGCTCGAAGCTTGATTATGGCTCCATCGTATATGGTGGAGCCTGCAAAAGCAACCTAAAACTCTTAGATTCAGTCCACCATCAAGGTCTGAGACTTTGTCTTGGGTCCTTCAGAACATCTCCTGTTGACAGTCTCTACGTCGAGGCAGATGAGCCTTCTCTTACCCAACGCCGTATAAAATTATCATTAGAGTATATTACGAAGCTATATTCTAACGAGTCTAATCCTGCGTTTCACTGCATCTTGACTCCTCTTTATGAGGATTTGTATAACAAAAAGCCTTCTCTTGTTCCGCCTCTTGGGCACAGAATTAAACCATTCCTTTCTGCTGCCGGCATTGAGCTGGAGAATATTTCTCCTTCTCGTCTTCTTTCTTCTCCTCCTTGGCAATTGGTGAGGCCAGAAGTTGACTTAACATTAACCACATTTAAAAAATCCGAAACTAATGATTTACAGTATAAACAAGAATTTAGTCAATTAAGAAATAAATATCATACCTATAAATCCTTATATACAGATGGATCCAAGGATGGTGGCGCGGTTGCTTGTGCCACTGTCATTGGGTCCAAAACAATATCTTCCAGACTACCCAATGACAGTTCAATTTTCACAGCAGAAGCAAACGCGATACTAACAGCTCTTAAATATATTAATAAACACCGTAAATATAAACAATATATCATCTTTTCAGATTCTCTTTCGTGTCTTCAGGCTATTAAAAATCTTTCTTGCAAACATCCACTTTTATTAGAAATTATTGAATTGTATAATGAGCTTGCTACTGGCCAATGCGACATCGTCTTTTGTTGGTTACCCAGCCACGTTGGCATTTCTGGGAACACGATGGCTGATATTGCTGCTAAGGCTGCACTCAACAAATCTGTGACACCACTTCTGCTCCCATACTCTGATTACAAAGCTTGCATTAGATCTTACATCCGTGATCTGATGCAAAAGAAGTGGGACACCCAAGTAGGTATCAATAAATTACATGCAATAAAACCCTACATCGGTTACACTTACTTGGGTTGTCAGTCCAGGGTTGAAGAGGTCATCATACGACGATGTCGTATTGGCCACACAAGATATACGCATGAGTACCTATTGAAAGGTGAGGATCCTCCGTTTTGTATCCCTTGTGATGAACGAATCACGGTCAAGCATGTCTTGCTTGACTGTGTTGAGTACTCCATCACAAGGGATATTTATTTCAAAGTAAAAACTATGAAGGATCTTTTAGTCATATAAGTTCTCATTTACTTGTTGCCTTTTAAAAAAAATTAGACTTGCTAACTGATTTGTAAATAGATATATATTTTATTATTGGTAGTTTAAATTAGTAACTGAGATTGTTAGTGGCTGTACCCTCAAAGGGGTTGAAGTAGCGTAAAATTATTGTCCTCCTGAGAGGGTACGTAAGTCCCAAAACATTTAGTCAATTTAAGTGTACCAGGTTTTTAATCGTAGAATATGTGTACTTTTAATTTATGGCTAGATTTCTCTTCTGTCGCCAATGGCTGAAGGGATGGTGTAAATCCAGCTAGGGTCCATGCAGGAAGCAAATGTACTGTAAGTCCCCATGGTCCCTAGTATGGTGATCTACCTTCAGTTGTTGGCGATCAATAGCCTGTTTTTTATATTGTATCGTCTTGTATAGTTCAAATGTTTTAGATTTAGTTACTAGTTTTATATCTATATCTGTGATAATCTAGTTATTTTACTGTCCTTCGTCGGCAGAATTATATAATTTCACGTAAATTGTTGATATCTTTATAACTTGCTTTAGTCACGATATGGCTGAAATATTGCCGATGTGACTTAAAATCTTAACTCACTCACTTTAGACAGGGTAGGACGAAATTCATGGGCAACTAGAATTAAAAATATTCTTTTTCAATTTGGTTTTGGATTTGTTTGGATAAGTCAGGAAATTGGTGATCACAAAATATTTATGGAATCATTTAAACAGAGACTACATGATAATTTATTTCAATCTTGGCATTCATCTTTGGACAGTAACTGTAAATGTCTTTACTATAAGCAATTCAAATCTTTGTTAAATGTTGAGAGCTACTTGATAAATAATGATATCCCTCAATATTTAAAAACTATATATGCCCGATTTCGGTGCTGTAATTTTAAACTAGCAGTTGAAACGGGCAGATACGCTGATGTTGCATATAATGAAAGGCATTGCCTGTTTTGTAAATTAAATGGTATCTTCGTTGTTGAAGATGAATGGCATGTGTTTTATATCTGTGATGCATATTCTCATATCAGAAATAAGTACATATCAAAATATTTTAGTAAATGTCCATCAATTATTAATTTTATATCAATATTACAGAGTAAAAATGTTAATATTATCAAGGATGTATGTCTATTTTTATACTTTGTTGACAAGAAACACAAATCTAAATGAAATATATATGTGCCTAACTTATCATCAATTTATGTACATTTTGGGCCTGAGGCCTGTAACTGAAATAAAATTCTGTTCTGTCCATTATGTTTCTCTGGTTTGTCTGCATATATGAAGCAAATATAGAGAAAGCGCCACCACTGAAATTGTCCACATTAGCAGGTGTCCGGATTAAACGGACTCTGGTCACAGCGTAATGTCACGTTAAATATGTTACAGGAAGATTATGAAACTAGACATTTCAGTAAGTTCATGAAAACCCTGATTCTGTCATTTCAGGGAATCGGGGATTTAATGAAGTCTCCAAACTGAGTTGCCAGGTGAATGAATGAATGGATGAATATTGCGTGTGAACGAACGAACAAACATCTTTACCTCTCTGTGTGTGTGTGTGTGTGTGTGTGTGTGTGTGTGTGTGTGTGTGTGTGTGTGTGTGTGTGTGTGTGTGTGTGTGTGTGTGTGTGTGTGTGTGTGTGTGTGTGTGTGTGTGTGTGTGTGTGTGTGTGTGTGTGTGTGTGTGTGTGTGTGTGTGTGTAAGGAGAAATTGAGAACAGTCATTTCAGGTAGCCTTTAACAATTACTTTGACATGAGTCACGATATGGCTGAGAAATTGCCGATGTGACGTTAAATATACTCAACACCATTGAAAACGCACCACTTATTAAAGTTTAGATTATAAAAAGCACGTGTAAGGAATTGATATTTTTTGAGTGGATAATAATAGATGGACGGCTGACAAAAACAACAACACAGAAAAGACGCTCATTCATTGTAATGTTCCCCAGCACAAAGGATCAAACACGCGTGGGGTCAAATTGAAAAGTCAATATCGCGTGTGACCGCCATTTGCATTGACACATGCAGTTGAACGTCTCCTCATTGAGTCAATAAGCGTCCGAATAGAGTTCTTGAGGATGACATTCCACCTCTGCAGTAGTGCAGCCTCAAGTTCCCGGATGTTTCGCATCTGTTGTCGCCGCGAAAGACTTTGACCAATTTCGTCCCACAAGTGCTCTATGGGGGATACATCTGGCGACTGTGCTGGCCAATGAATAACCTGGATGTGTTGCTGGGCCAGATACTGCATGGAAAGTCTTGTTGTGTGTGCCCGTGCGTTGTCCTGTTGAAAAGTACGGACATCTTGGTGGTGATTGAATACAGATACGATGTGATTCTGAAGAACCTGCTCACGGTAAAACAAAGCATTAACTCTCCCTTGACAGACATGAAGGCAGTCCTGTGATTGTAATTTATTCCACCCCAGACCATGACACTCCCACCACCCAAAGGTCTGTCTGAACCACACACTCATCAGCATAACGTTCACCACGTCTACGCCAAACACGTAGTCGGCCGTCAGCATTACGTAGATGAAGACGTGACTCGTCAGTGACTACCACACCATGCCATTGTTGTAACCTTTACTGAAAATGCCTGCTAGCCCATTGTATACGTTCATTACGGTGTCTGTCAGTCAGAATTGGTCCAACGTAAGGACGTCGAGCATGGAGCCCTGTAGCGTGTAGACGGCGTCGCATGGAGTCAGCGCTGATGACCCCCACGTCAACCTTGAACTAGTGCAGCAGTCCTGGCAGTCGGCAGTGTTCAATCACTGATATGGACAAGGTCAATATGTCGATCCTGATGGAGCGTCGTTACACGTTGTTGCCAAGGTCATTGAAGGTCACGGGTGCTGCCTGTCTACTGATGTCGTCTATGAAGCCTATCGATGGTGGAGTGGCCTAGTCCAAGTTGTCGAGCAATATCCCTGCTGCTGGTGCCAACCCGAATCATGCCTAGTGCTCGTTCTCTTTCGTGAGGTGTTAACCTCGGCATCTCTGTCCTCGTTTCACAATCGACCCGCGAAGATCCGGGGTAGAATAGGTCTTCAGCAACCCATGCTTGCCACAAAAGGCGACTGTGTTTGTCGTAAAAGGCGACTAACGGGATCGGTTGGTCAGGCTCGCTGACTTGGTTGACACATGTCATCAGTTCCCAATTGTGCAGATCGATGCTCATGCTGTTGATCAGTGGATTGTCTGGTCCAGACTAGATTATTACAGACCGCCGCCATATAGCTGGAATATTGCTGAGTGCGGCGTAAAACTAAACTCACTCACTCACTCACTCACTCCTCGTTTCACAATCGTTAGTGAAGCAATGAGAATCGGTTCTCATACACCTGCTTTTAATGTCACAGTCAGTATGATTTCAGAATGAAATTCGAGCGGTTTTCATGGCGTGGCTGCATGTTGATGCATTTTGGAATTAAGAGTCATACTGTGGACAGGAATTGGTTTCTGAAGCATTTTTTCAACTGGACATGCCCTTCAAATTCATGTTAGTTATATTCATTGATCATTGTCATGCTGAAATCCATCTTGATGAAAATATGGACAATTTTAGACCGGTGCGTTTTCAATGATGTTCAGTATATTAACGCACTTACTCACTTTAACATGACCATGACCTGTATTATTCCATATCAGTTGTTGCAGGTAAAGATACCCTTGAATATCTAGGCTGTGTAAACACCGACCCATATCTCTTTCAACCAGAGCGGCTGAGAGCTGTAGTGGACCGGCAACTGAATATTCCATAGCGAGTAGATTGTGCTTCATCATCGTGATTGGGATTCTAATTTCTACATATATTCAACCGCAAAGGGGCTGAACTCATTCACAGACAGCATCGCCATGACTGAGAAATCGTACACGACAAGTGAGCAAATATTGCGTTCTATGTCACCGTCTTGTCCCACGTGATAGCCATGACACTGCCATGTTTGTGATGATATTGGGTAACATGTATTGTTGATTAATATGAATTCCAGTTCAAATATGTTTAAGCTTGGGCTGTTTAACTTTTGGTTTAGTGGGTTGGGGCGTGGAGGTGATGAAATGTGTTTGTTTACATGCGGAGTGTGGCTTCGGGAGCCTGTTTAGGGGTCTCTTCGGGGCATTGAGTCTGACTTTGTGACTAGATAATGATTCGATATTGTGAAATAACGTCTAGCGCCGAGGGGACTAAGTGTTATGTCGGTGCTGGTGTTGTAGTGACTTGTAGTGGTCAAGTTGTTGAATATATGGTGTACTGGATGATGTGATGTGTTGTGAAATTGGTTTTAACATCGGACTTGAGAATATTTCGCTCATATGACGACGTGCATGCGTGTGTTTGTGTATGTGCAGCTGCTTGTACTAGCCCAGACTTAAGCTGGTTTTATAGTGCTAGCCCACTGATATACCATGCCGCAGTGAAGCTTGAAAACCCGACTCAGACACATTATACTGACTCCGAGCCGACCAGTCCTTGTTGTTCCCATTAATACCGAGCGCCAGACAGGAACCAACAGGTACATTATTTTAACGTCTTTTGGTATGACGCGGTCGGGGATCGAACCCGCGACTACCACTACACCACTGAGGCGGTTTGTTCTGGATGAGAGACTGAGTGAATAATCGAGTCGTATTTTTCTGACTTTGTGTGATTTGGGAATAAATGAGTGAGTTTAGTATTACGCCGCAATCAGCAATATTCAAGCTATATGGCGGCGGTCTGCAAATAATCCAGTCTGGACCAGACCACTGATCAATATCATGAGCATTAATCTACGCAATTGGGAACCGATGACATGTGTCAACCAAGTCAGCGAGCCTGACCACCCGATCCTGTTAGTCGCCTCTTACGACAAGCATGGGTTACTGAAGATCAATATTCTAACCCGGATCTTCACGGGTTAATATGGGAATGAAACTGGATAAGGAATAGGAAGTGGGTGAGGGACACACCAAGTATGAGTATTCCTCTTCATACGAAGTATCCAACTGGGATCATCACAACTATATTCATTATATTTGTCGAGTACAAATTATTGAGCTCTATATAAATCATAAATTTTAATTAGACATTTTTTCAAATGTGTGCTGCAAATGTCGTTTATGTTACTGAGGGCTATAGTTTTTAAATGTCAGTTAATGAAATATTTTCAGTGAAATAAGAAGGAAAAATTAAATTGCACTTTCCTATTATATTTTGGGTTGAAATGAATTTGCAAATTATCAGGTGTCTCTATGGAAAATCTAACTCTTTTAAGCATGCTGCATGTTGAAAAACAAAATTGCTTCCGACTCCGAGAACTTTCTTCATAATAAACGTCTAACTTCCGGACGCCGCTTCACACTCCACTTTTCAGAACTAACAGGGCATCAAATTCATTTATTCCAACCAGCGTCGCTATTTTAAACCAGTGATGTGGTTGAATATTACTTGTTATGTGTGTCTTGTCATAGTCCCCTTGTGTAAAGTTTCTGTTTTGGTGATTCGCATATTGTTATATTGAGTTTATGAACTATTTATTGGTTTTGTGGAGCACAGCATCTGATGTACAACAAATTCCCTTTTAGGCAAATAAAGTATTATTAATAAATAGTATGCAAAATATTCTCCCTATTCAAGCTAGCACTTTGTGGAACTATGACAAACTATTGGTACATGGGAACAAAGGAAACACAATCTGGAGTACTGGTGGCGTTATGTAAAATATTTGAGCCTCAATAAAGTTTTTTTAACATGTACTTCGATTCTTGTCTGAGGTAGAAAAGAGTGTCTGGCGTTTAATTTAAAAAAGTTCTTCTGACGCTCGGCGTTTCCCAAACAAGAAAATGCCAAAAAACAAAAAAAACAAAACAAACAAAACTCAAAAAAAGAAATAAGAAGAGATCTGTGGACATATCCATGCGAGCACCAAGTTCAAAGAGCAAAATGGGGACGAGGATGATACGTATTTGTAAACACTAAGTCTGTTTGATTTGTAATAATCAGAAAGAAAGAAAGACCTATGGTGACAGATCTTTTTCCAAAGCAGGACCCACATTGTGTACCCATCTCCCAAACAACATCCAGAACATATGCGAACTCGACCAGTTCAAGCGAATGCAAAAAACACAGCTTTTTGACGATGCCTTTGCCTGTGGGCCTCTGAGCAATTTGTTGGAACAGGCGATATATATATATTATAATCACGACTAGACATCATTGCAGCGGTTGTCAATGTATCAGAATATTTTTGTTCCAGCTTCTCCCTTCCCGCCCCTCACCCCGGGCAAAATAAGGGTCTACAGCATGAGGTTTTGTCCTTATGCTGAGAGGACGAGATTAGTTCTACATCACAAGAACATTGAGTGAGTATATACCATATGATGTGCCTCTATAGTGAGAGCGAGACTAATTGTAGCACATAATATACGAACATAGAGAGCGTGATCTATAGAGATCTAGTTCTTGAGAATAGGACCATAGAGTGTGTATACATCACAAATTATGTCCCTTTGCTGAGATATTGAGACTGGTTCTAGAAAATAGGAACATAGTGGGAATACATACTCGAGGATACGCCCATATGATAAGAGAGCGAAACTAGTTCTAGAGAAAATGAACATAGGTTGAGTGAACACTCAAGGGTCCGTCAATATGCTTCCAGAACGAACTGGCACCCATGAAAGGCCACCTCCTCGTGGTGGGTGCTGGGTCACGCTAAGCGCCTTTCAACCCCCCGTTGTGGACCCGGGGGGGATATTTTGGTCCACCAACCCGTTTGCCGTGGGTTGCGCCCCTGTGTCGGTGGAGGACGGGAGGCTGGTGGTTGAGGGCACTGGGAGCCTGGAACCGTGTTCCTCTTGCCCAACACACCACTTCGCCCCTTACTTCACCTAGACGGGTGGTAGAACTGGCCCGGTTCTATCAATCGGCTGGTCACGCCAAGCCCTGTGCATGGTACATATATTATTTGCACACATACTTATTTTGGGGCTTTTGATATTTTGATCTTCCATTTACAAATTATTCTCATGTTAAATTGCCTAGAGTCCTATGCCAGAAGGCGGTGGCTCATGGGCCAATCTGGCAATAGAAACCTCTGAATTCTGTTCTTCTTCAGAAAGGTGTCAAGGGCGAACCAGCCTGCCATTTGTTCTGTTAGATTCGACAGCTATTCAAGTGTTTATGTGCTGGAGTATAACATCTCTGTAACCCTGGTGGAGCATGCTGGATTCCGCTGTAACACCGTCCTTGTTGACACTCCATGGTGGGTGGGGAGCAGGGATGTTGAACACTTTTCCTACACCATGGCTTTTCCTCTTCCTTCTGGTTCATCGAAGCATAAACGTAGATTTGTAGAATCTACATCGTCGGATGAAGGATCTTCTGACACTGTCGACTCGTGGCCGAGGTTCATTGTTATCTCATCTATAGAAGACACTCCGTTACAACTGAACCCCTTCGCAATCTCCAAGGGCATTTATGGTGTCTGTGGAGAAGTGAAGGACGTTACACGTCTCCGAAATGGTTCGCTCTTAGTGGAATGTGCCCGTAGACAGCAATCGGTCAATCTGTTGAAACTAAAACAGTTTGTGAATACACCTGTTGTTGTCTCGGTGCACAGAACTCTGAACTCCTGCAGAGGTATAGTCAGAGACAGGGCCCGTTGCCTTTCTGATATGGATGAGGATGATCTTGTTCATGAACTAGAAAACCAGGGCGTAACAGGAGTAAAGCGTTTTTCTAAAAAGAAAGATGATGGCACAATTGTCAAGTTGAATACGTACTTGTTTACGTTCTCACTTTCCACGCTTCCACAAAGTATAAAAGCTGGGTACTTTAACATCGGAGTTGAGGTATATGTACCAACTCCGCTCCGATGTTTCAAATGCCAAAAGTTTGGTCATGGGGCCAGGTTCTGCCGTAATACCATGGTATGTTCCCGTTGTGGTGGTGCACATGAACTCTCTGAGTGCACGAATAGCATCAAGTGTGCTAACTGCAATGGAGAACACTTGGCCTCATCAAAATCATGCCCGGTCTACGAACGTGAGACTAAAATTCAAAAAAATAAAACACACCAGCAACATTTCTTATGCTGAAGCTAAAAAGCAGGTAACTGTATCATCCCATTCAGCTATTTCATATTCAACTGTAGTTTCTTCTCGTGGCAATACCTCCAGACCCCCCCATGTCATCAACGTCGTGCCAGACATCCATATCCTGGGTGAACAAACAATTTACAATAGATGATAAAATCCAGACCTCTCAAATGGGCATCGCTAGTGCTTCGACATCGGCATCCCAGACGGAGACTGTCACATCGCTGCCTTCAGCAGATCCTGCTTCTGAACCTGAATGTGCCTCAAATGCATCACAGCAAATTAAACCATCCAAAAATGAAAAAAAGGAAAAGAAAAAATCGAGAGGAAGGACCAGGGCCCTTCAACATTTGGAGGTGCCTTCCTCTCAGTCGTCCCCTGTACAGGTTCAAAATCAATTTGAACCTTTGGAGATGGAGGTCAATCCCTCTGTCCCAGTCCATGGGAGTAGACCTCACTCCAATCCGCGTTCTCCAATTGATCCTCCATGAGTGGCTCAAATAACATTGTTCAGTGGAATTGTAGAGGACTGAGAAATAATTTTAATGATTTACAATTACTAATACAAGATTTCACACCATCAGCATTTTGTTTACAGGAGACGTACCTAAAAACCACAGATCAATTTGATATCCGGCAGTATACTTCATATAACTTCTTTTCTCCTCCGGGACTCCGAGCTACTGGAGGCTCTTCAATTTTGGTGCGACAGGGTGTTATACATAGCCCTGTTCCCCTAAATACACCACTTCAGGCTGTTGCTGTCAGGTTGACTTTACACATTGCCTTTACATTATGCTCCCTTTATGTGCCGCCATCTTCCACTCTTCACCAAACTGATCTTCAGGCTCTTTATGACCAGCTCCCCAAACCGTGTATCATTATGGGTGACTTGAACGGTCATAATCCTCTTTGGGGTAGTTCTCATACAAACAGAAATGGGACAGTACTAGAAGATTTTATTTCAAACAACGATCTGTGTATATTTAACGATAATTCGAAGACATACCTACATCCTGGCACAGGCACATATTCTTCTCTTGATTTATCACTCACTCACACCGATCTGTTAAATGAATTTGAATGGTCAGTCCATAACGACCTGTGTGGCAGCGACCATTTTCCAACCATTCTTAAAACAATAACTCCTGCTGATGTTGCTCCATCATCAAGATGGAACTTCAACAAAGCAAACTGGCCTTTGTTTGAATTACTCTGTATTGACAAACTAACTCCTGCTCGTTTTATTGATGCTCTTGATTCAGTGCAATTATTCTCTGATGAACTACACAAAATAGCTGATGAGTGTATTCCTAGGTCCTCTACAAATCCACATATACGTAAACCATGGTTTAATAATGACTGCAAACAAGCTAGAAAGGCACGGAAAAAAGCTGAACACTATTTTCGTCGCCACCCAATGGTGCATAATTTAGATAAATTTAAAATTTTAAACGCTAAAGCACGTCGAACATTTAAGCTTAATAAGCGCCAGTCGTGGCAAAATTACGTTTCGAAAATAAATTCACGGACGCCGATGTCCAAGGTATGGAACATGATCCAGAGAATTAAAGGTAAGGGTACCAAATCAAGCATTAATCATCTCAAAATTGGGGACCAATTGTTAACAGATAAATCTGACATCGCAAATAAACTGGGTGAGACACTTGCAAAACATTCTTCCTCGTCAAACTATGTTCCCGAATTTCAAAAATTCCAAAATTGCAAGAAAAGAAACAAGTCAATTTTCATTCGGATAATGGGGAAGACTATAATGAAATCTTCTCTATCCACGAGCTTCATACTGCTCTTGAACAAGCTCACAATACTGCAACAGGAGCTGATAACATTCATTATCAACTCCTGCAACACTTACCGGAATCTTGTTTAGAAACACTATTAAATATTTTTGATGACATTTGGACATCTCGTAACTTTCCTTCATCTTGGCGTGATGCCATTGTTGTACCCATACCTAAACCTGGACGTGATCATACCGATCCCTCAAATTATAGGCCCATTTCCTTGACTAGTTGCGTTTGCAAAACCATGGAACGCATGGTCAATAACAGATTAACTTGGTACTTAGAGTCCAATAATTTAATCACAAATATTCAATGTGGTTTTCGTAAAAATCGCAGTACCATTGACCATTTAGTTCGATTGGAGTCATTCGTTAAAAATGCCATTCTTAACAAGCAGCATGCAGTGTCAATATTTTTCGATTTAGAGAAAGCCTATGACACGACATGGAAGCACGGCATTTTACAAGATTTACATGATTTTGGTTTGAGAGGCCGTTTGCCTCAGTTTATATCCGAGTTTTTAACTGATAGGCAATTTCAAGTCCGCGTGGGTTCTACCCTGTCTGACCATTATAAGCAGGATCAGGGTGTACCACAAGGTAGTATTTTGTCTGTCACATTGTTTAGTGTTAAGATCAATAGTTTATCAAAGGTCTTAAGTGATTCAATCGATGGGTCACTATTCGTGGATGATTTTAATATTTCTTGTCGTGGTAAAAATATGCATACTATTGAACGGCAACTGCAGTTGTGTTTAAACAAAATAGATAAATGGTGTCTTGCGAATGGATTTAAATTTTCTAAATCCAAAACTAATTCTATCCATTTTTGTAGAAAATATAAACCGCATAAAGACCCGGAACTGTTTCTAAATGGCTCTCCCATCAAAGTTGTTAAGGAAGCCAAGTTCTTGGGTTTAATTTTTGACTCGCATCTAACTTTTCTTCCACATATCAAGGCCCTTAAAACTAAATGCATGAAAGCACTTGACTTGCTGAAAGTCGTTTCCAATTCTAAGTGGGGAGGGGATCAAGCTACCCTACTACAATTATATCGATCATTGGTTCGTTCCAAACTTGATTATGGCTCCATCGTATATGGTGGAGCCTGCAAAAGCAACCTAAAACTTTTAGATTCTGTCCACCACCAAGGTCTAAGACTATGTCTTGGTTCCTTTAGAACTTCACCTGTTGACAGCCTCTACGTCGAGGCTGATGAGCCATCTCTTCCACAACGCCGTATAAAATTAACTTTACAGTATGTAACAAAACTTTATTCCAATAAGTCAAACCCTGCATATGACTGTGTCTTTAATCCAATATATGAAGATCTGTATAACAAAAAGCCTTCTCTTGTTCCACCTCTTGGTATAAGAGTGAAACCTTTCCTTTCTGCTGCTGGCATTGAGCTAGAACATATAGCTCCTTCCCGTATTATTTCTTCTCCTCCTTGGCAATTGGTTAGGCCACAGGTTGACCTTACACTGACAACATTTAAAAAATCAGAAACAAATGAATTACAATATAAACAAGAATTTCATCAATTAAAAACTAAATATACTACATACACATCCTTATTTACAGATGGGTCCAAGGATGGTGGTGCGGTTGCTTGTGCCACCGTCATTGGATCCAGAACAATCTCTTCTCGATTACCCAATAACAGCTCTATTTTCACAGCAGAAGCAAACGCCATATTAACAGCTCTTAAATATATTCAAAGACATCCCAAACATAAACAATATATAATATTTTCTGACTCTCTTTCTTGCCTTCAGGCTATTAAAAATATATCTTGCAAACATCCACTTTTAATTGAAATAATCGAATTATATAATGAGCTTGCTACTGGCCAATGTGACATCGTCTTTTGTTGGTTACCCAGCCACGTTGGCATTTCTGGGAACACAATGGCTGATCTTGCTGCTAAGGCAGCACTCAACAAATCTGTGACACCACTTCTTATCCCATACTCTGATTACAAAGCTGCTATTAGATCTTATATCCGTGATCTGATGCAAAAGAAGTGGGACACCCAAGTAGGTATAAATAAATTACATGCAATAAAACCCTATATTGGTTACACCTACTTGGGTTGTCAGTCCAGATTTGAAGAGGTCATCATGCGACGATGTCGTATTGGCCACACAAGATATACTCATGAGTACCTATTGAAAGGTGAGGATCCTCCGTTTTGTATCCCTTGTGATGAAAGAATCACGGTCAAGCATGTCCTGCTTGACTGTGTTGAATATTCCATCACAAGGGATAAGTATTTTAATGTCAAAACATTGAAGGATCTTTTTTAATAATGCTAATTATCATTTAATAGTTGAATTTTTAAAAGAATTAGATTTGTTAACTGATTTGTAAATAGATAAATATTTTATTATTGGTAATTTAAATTAGTCACTGAGATTGTTAGTGGCTGTACCCTCAAAGGGGGGTTGACGTAGCGTAAAATTATTGTCCTCCTGAGAGGGTACGTAAGTCCCAAAACTTTCAAAGTAAAATATAAATTATCACATTTTAATTGTAGTATTTTTGTTATTTTAACTGTTGGCTAAATTTTCCTATAATCGCTAGCGGCTGAAGGGATGGTGTAAATCCAGCTAGGATCCATGCAGGTAGCAAAAGTAATGTAAGTCCCCATGGCTCCTAGCATGGTGATCTACCTTCAGTTGGTGGCGATCTATAGCCCATTTTTATATTGTGTTGTCCCCTATAGTTAAAATGTTTTAGATTCAATTACTAGTTTTACATATATATCTGTGATTATCTAGTTATTTTACTGTCCTTCGTTGGCAGAATTTTATAATTTCACTTAAATTGTTGATATATTTATAACTTGCTTTAGTCACGATATGGCTGAAATATTGCCGATGTGACTTTAAATCTTAACTCACTCACTCACTATAGGATCATAGTGAGAGTATAATCTCGAGGTTCTGTCCCTATGCTAAAAGAGCGAGACTAGTTCTTGAAAATAGGAACATAGTGAGAGTATAACCTCGAGGTTCTGTCCCTATGCTAAAAGAGCGAGACTAGTTCTTGAAAATAGGCTCATATTGAGAGTATAATCTCGAGGTTCTGCTAAAAGAGCGAGACTAGTTCTTGAAAAAGTATAATCTCGAGGTTCTGTCCCTATGCTAAAAGAGCGAAACTAGTTCTTGAAAATAGGCTCATAGTGAGAGTATAACCTCGAGGTTCTGTCCCTATGCTAAAAGAGCGAAACTAGTTCTTGAAAATAGGCTCATAGTGAGAGTATAACCTCGAGGTTCTGTCCCTATGCTAAAAGAGCGAAACTAGTTCTTGAAAATAGGAACATAGTGAGAGTATAACCTCGAGGTTCTGTCCCTATGCTAAAAGAGCGAAACTAGTTCTTGAAAATACTTAGTAACATAGTGAGAGTATAACCTCGAGGTTCTGTCCCTATGCTAAAAGAGCGAGACTAGTTCTTGAAAATAGGCTCATAGTGAGAGTATAACCTCGAGGTTCTATCCCTTTACTAAGAGAGCAAAACTAGTTCCAGAAAATAGGAACATAGTGAGAGTATAATCTCGAAGATCCGTCCCTCTGCTGAGAGAGCGAGACTAGTTTTTATTGATGTTCTATATTGTATTGATGATGAATATTGATTGAAAAGTTTATTCATTTTTCACCCAGACATGAGATAGTGAACATTGACTTGAAGCAGAAGCCATCTTGGTTCTGGGACAGGAACCCCAACGGCACTGTACCCATCTTCGAACTGGACGACAAAGTAATCTATGAGTCTTTGATCAGCTCTGACTACGTGGATGAAGCGTACCCCAACAACAAACTGACCCCCTCAGACCCGTACAGGAGAGCCCAGGACAGGATCATTGTGGAACTGTTTTCAAAGGTAATAATTCGGTTGATTGTAACTTAAATAATACGAGCAGTCCAATCCACATAAAAGGAATATCGTTTCCGTTACCGTAAAGAATCCCGTAAAGACACCCTCAGACCCGTAGTAGTTGTGAATATAATAAACTCATAAAACATAATATTCTCATTGTCACATGATATTCATCTTTGAACACGGAGTTTCAGTTAAATACGGGATCATAGCCTAAATTGATACCGATCTTACATAACTTTCAAGCGCAGTGAAAGACGAGCAAGGGTCTGGTGGTAACGAAGCAAGAATCGCTTTTCAATATGCAATAAGGTTCCGAACCAGGTACCAGCGGATCCTACCACGACTAAGGGAAAGAACTAGGCATCCTGTGTCCCCAGCTAGGATACTAACTACTGTTATACATTTCAGGTAGTGTCCTTCTTTTACAAGATAGCTTATGGCAAAGAGGTCCCAAAGGAAGCTATTACGGGATTCCATGAGGCTCTTGATAGGGTTGAGAAGGCTCTTGCAGACAGGGGGACCCCGTTCTTTGGTGGTAAGAATCTTTTCCTCTTTTAAAAACGATGTGACTTAAAAATTGTGATCAGGATGTTTGTTTAACTGTCTCATGATGCTAAACGAACAACCTCAACCAAAGGGAAAGTATCTGATTTGTTTTAGGATTGGGGCATTTTGAAAGACATTAGTTTAGGCCAACAGATACCTTTAGAAATTACTTATTGTACGTCAGAATTCCCTGAGATTACTTGTTGCAAGACATACCCGCGGTACAATGGTCTGTGACAGAAGTGATAGCGTTGCTCGGGTAGGACTGGCTACAATGATCGATAATCGGAAATATCGTCGATAGGAACCATTATTAATGATTATCGATATGAAAATTGTGTTATCGATAATATGGTACATAAACGTTTGTGATAGAAAAAAGTCTCTTTCTCAGAGATACACAAACATAAGACATCAATCATGGTCTGCCTGTAAATTACATTCAGGACGCTCTTTTGTTAAAAATCCATGCAAAACATGTCACAGGGGTCCAGATAATTTTTCAACATCAGGAGTACGTACTCCTTATTGTTTTCAATATAGGAGTACTGGAAGAGTACATTTAGAGTACTGAATGGAATTTCATGGAGTATCAGTAATCTTGTGTTTCGTTTCATATCTGCACCACAACAGGTCAATAAACAATAAAACAATACTTTTTCAGATAAATACGTCTGCTAATGATTCTAATACCGTACACCATTGCCGTGGTGCGTATCTGTTACGTTTTTCTAAATTATTTCCTACCGTATCGTGCATATTTTTTATCCGTACATACGCCGATACGGCCCTTGTCTGGAGTCCTGCATAATGTCATCACTCACCATTGATGTGAAATATATTAATTTCTTTCAGATATTTTTTGCAAGTTACTTTTAAGATATTTATTGATATAAGATCGATATTTGGCTAACGGTTATCGATTTTACGATCGATATCGATAGCCAGCCCTACCATTCGATGATCTGAGCAGCTCAGATCATCGATTGGGTATTACAGGTTCTACATACATCCTGTTTTTGAAAACATTTATGTTTTTAAAACGAAGCATTTGCTCAGACAATATTCAGACTTCGACTTCATCGCATTACATATGTGGATTCTTCGTCCTTACAATGATCAACTTTTAACAGTTTTACTTGTGAATATCTCATCTTTTTACCTTTCAGGCAGCTCTGTCCAGATGGTTGACCTAATGCTGTGGCCTCACGCTGAAAGGTTTGATGCCATGACCCAGTTAGTGAAAGAAGCGAGTGTGCCAGCAGATCGGTACCCGAAGTTTACCAAGTGGATCGAAAACATGGGGACGGTACCAGCTGTACAGAAATGTCGTTGGGATACACCGTCTCATATCCATTACATAGAAACAGCCAAAGCTGGTAAACCAGATTTTGACGTCGGACTTTGAATTTGAATCAGTATTTTCACAGAACTGTGCAGATGATAACATAACATAGCTGTTGTTCCTGCATAGATGATCATGCCTTTCTGGAGTGTGTAGCTCCAGTGATGTGTTACGTCTGAATCATTCTGGTCTCACAAGTTTCCACAATATACACACCATACAGTATAAGGAGCACATGCAGAAACAGACATTGATCTGATCATTGAAGCTGATTCAGGGAAATTTTAGTCACGAAGAAATTCTCCTTAGATCAAGGACTTGGGCCAAAGAAGATTTGCTTTTTACATTTACTGTGTTCATTACAAATCTGTCTTAACAACACAAGAACCCTGATGACTTATTTAAACAAGGCAATAAACTTTGGAACTACCACTCTTGAACAAAATACACCAAGGTTATGTCTTTTATTACAACTGGCTCCTTCGGATTAGAAACTTGCACGTGGGCCATTGTATCAGTGACGTGCGATGTAATCTGAAGGACATGCATTCATGGTGCTAAGTGATCGTTAAGATGTATCTCCGGGTTATCACAGACACTGATATTCGTTCGCCAATGTCAGGTCGTTGCTTGTATGATGAAATTGATGAACAATTATACTTTTGGAGCTTCAATTTTCTGTCCTAATAAAGCTTGTTCAGTGGATTTGGTATTGGTTTATTTCTATCACGTTACAAGATCCCTGAGGAACGGATATGTTTTGGGTGAAGATGCTGATACGTGTGTCAAGGAATGACGGATCATCTGTCACGAGTGAACAAATGAGTGAGTATGGTCTCACGCCGCTTTTAGCAATATTTCAGCAATACTACGTCGGGGGACACTAGAAATGCGCTTCACACATTGTACCCATGTGGGGAATCGAACCCAGGTCTTCGGCGCGGGACAGAACGCTTTCACCACTTACCTAACTCAAGTGGCGAGTGACTTACACAGTTTATATCAGGAGGGACAGATAATTGGTTGTTCTTTGTCATTTGTTTTACTGGTCATCGTCAAATATGAACATTAAAAGCGAAAACATTCTGACATTCACCCTTTATACAGATTCGAAGACACAGTTTTATATACTTGTGTGCAACTACGCTGAAGCACAATGAACATAATGATTCCACGATGGTCAAATACTTCAATGAAAAGGCATCCATTTCTAGGAATATGAAACAAATTATTCCAAAATTTCGCATCGAGAATCTTTTTGTCTACATTTAGTACCAACACTAAGTATTTCAACGTAAATGATACAGAATATAACTAAACACACACTTGCAGTTTATTGTAATAGATATATATTGTGTGTTCCATGTAAGGAGAAATTGACAAGAATTGTTTTAGGTAGCATAAAGATATGGCTTTTGCATGGCCTGCATTATTCCAAATTAATGCTGCAGGTAAAGATTCCCTTAAATATCTAGACTGTGTAAACATTTACCAAACCAGAGCGGCCAAGCCACGCGAGAGCTGAAGTGGACCGGCATCTGAATATTCCATAGCGAGTAGATTGCGCTTCGTCATCGTGACTGGGATTCTAATTTCTGCATATATGCATCCGCAACCGTGTTGAACTCATTCACAGACAACATCGCCATGACTGAAAAAACCTACACAGCCAGTGAGTATATTTTTTACAATGTCACGTCTTGTCTCACGTGATAGCCATGACACCACCATGTTTGTTGCGATATAGTGGGTTACATACGTCGTTGATTTGCATCAAAACCATGTATTCCAGCTCAAATATGTTTAAGCTTGGACTGTTGAACTTTTGGTCAGTGGTTGGGGCGTGGAAGTGATGAAATGTGTTTGTATACATGCGGAGTGTGTCGCAGAGCTTTCGGGCGCCTCTTCAGGGGTCTCTACAGAAATGTCGTTGGGATACACCGTCACATGTCCATTTCATAGAAACAGCCAAAGTTAGAAAACCAGACTATGACGTCGGACTTTGAATTTGAATCAGTAGTTTCACAGAACTGCCAAATGACCACATAATGTAGGTGTTGTTCCTGAACATATGGGCATGCCTTCCTGGAGTGTGTAGCTCCAGTAGTGTCTTACGTCAGAATCATTCTGGTCTCACGCGTTTCCACAATATACACACCATACAGTATAAGGTGCACATGCAGAAACAAACATTGATCTGATCATTGAAGCTGATGGAGGGAGATTTTGGTCACGAAGTAATTCTCCTTAGATCAAGGACTTTGGCCAGAGAAGATTTGCTTTTTACATTTGTTGCGTTCATTACAAATCTGTCTTTAACATAAGAACCCCGGTGATATTATTTACTTTTTAAAGATTAGCAACACAAGAACCATGGTGATATTATTTGCTTTTTAAAGATTTGCAACACAAGAACACCCGTGATATTATTTGCTTTTACATTGGTTGCGTTCATTGCAAACCTGTCTTAACAACACAGGAACCCTGATGACATATTTAAACAAGGCAATAAACTTTGGAACTACTGCTTGTGAAAAAAATACTCCACAGTTATGTTTCTTATTACGACTCCTACGGATTAGAAACTTGCACGTGGGCCGTTATATCAGTGACATATGCGAAGGACATGCTTTCATGGTGCTAAGTGATCGTTCAGATGTATCTCCGGATTTCCACAGACAGACATTCAGTCGCCAATGTCAGGTCGTCGTTTGTATGGTGAAATTAATGAAAAAGTATACTTTTGAGTTTTGATTTTCTGTACTAATAAGGCTTGGACAATGGATTTTGTATTGGTTTATTTTATTCACACGTTACAAGATCCATGAGTAACAGCTATGTTTAGGGTGAAGACGCTCATAGGTTTTGCAGAGACAATCATGTGCGAAGGATGAATGACAGATTATCTGTTCCGAGTGAATGAGTGAGTTAGTCAGTATGGTTGCACGCCACTTTTAGCAATATTCCAGCTGTAACACGGATCTTTTTGTTTCCATTTAGTACCAACAGGTTTTTTATGTACATGATATAGGGTAAATGATAGACATACACGTGCCGTTTTCTTCCACTATTTCACCGGTCATTTCAGGAGTCGTCATTGCGCTAGGAATCGGTTTACATCATTACAGAGTGGAAACGATTCCTACGTCATCACCTAACTAATGACATAAAATGATTCTACAACAAGGAAAGGTTCAATCTGTGAACAATGAGCAACAGCAAATGTCAAATACTGACACTGGAAGGTCCCTGACCTTGATGTACAAGAATTTCCAGAACAACCTACCAGTTACTGTTCACAAGTATATGGAAACCAAACGAAAACGATCTGTGCTGGGGAAAAGAGTTTACGGTAGTGCAGTCTTATTCGGAATCGGATGAAGGTCCGGGACACACCGTCGTTTGGAAGGAGTCTGTTCTTTTGGCAGACTGGACAAACGTAGGAACGGTTGTTTTCAATGCACAGTCGTGAATTGGACCGGAGAGTAGAGTGTGTATCACAAATATTTTTGTGTTTTGTGCAATAGATGACGTACCGATCTAATTAAGACTGTCGGATAATATCACTTTCGTATACAAGCGACAATTGGGAGGGGGTCCATGGACATTGACCAGGCAACAGGTACTGCCTGAACAGGGTCAGTCAGCAGTGGAGAGGGCGTCCATGGACATAGACCAAGGAACAGGTACTGCCTGAACAGGGTCAGTCAGCAGTGGAGAGGGCGTCCATGGACATAGACCAAGGAACAGATACTTGCCTGAACAGGGTCAGTCAGCAGTGGAGAGGGCGTCCATGGACATAGACCAAGGAACAGATACTTGCCTGAACAGGGTCAGTCAGCAGTGGAGAGGGGGTCCATGGATATAGACCAAGGAACAGATACTTGCCTGAACAGGGTCAGTCAGCAGTGGAGAGGGCGTCCATGGACATAGACCAAGCAACAGGTACTTGCCTGAACAGGTTCGGTCGGAGAACTGGAACTTGTCAGGATGTTGGAAATGTCTGTGATTTGCGAGTATGCGTTAATTGAATGGATGTTCTCAGACAAATAACTTGCATTACCAGTATGATTTAATTTGTAGGGATGCACCTCAGTTTATTAGAAATTGAATGTAGCCATTTTGTTTACGTTGTTTGTGCAAGGATGCAGCCGCTCATTCGAGCAAATTCAATGTTTAAAGATGAATTCATGCTTTGTGTGCTTGTTGATATCAAGTGCAAAGTTATATTGTAATTTGGAAATAAATAAAAATGTTTTCGCTGAAAAACGTTTTAAATGTTTAGCCTCGTTCGTGTGTGGCATGTTCGCGGGGAATGAATGGGGAAAGACGTTCCTGCAGCTAATCAAAAGACAGCATTTCTGAAACAGCCAATCAGCTGTAAGTGGGAACAGTAACCTCCCTTTGGAGGCTATAGGTAATAAGCTGCATCTCCCATTACGTATGGGTAATGCTATACGGTGTATTCCCATACTGCCTACAGTTCAAAACTGCCTACAGGTTAAAACAACATGATACAGGTTAAAACAACATGATCCAGTGATCAGAAAGTGAAGTTAATGGGAATACACTGATCTGACCTGTTCTAACCCTGCTAAAATGAACTCGACCAGTTAGTTGGTTGATGAACTGACCTGTTCTATGGTGACTTCCCACTCTGCCTACAGAAGTTAAAAAAATGACAAGTGTTGGTTGGTAAGACATCTTTATTCATTCTGAGAATTTTGAGTCTTTTCATGGAGACATGGATATATCATGAACAATTGATAAGTTTTACAGTCTTTTAGTGGTTTCACAATTACACACATCTGACAAGATGTCCATCTCGTTGCCATGGACTCAGATATGTGACGGGACACTCATAAAATGTATTTGATTATTTTTGTTTTGGTGGTATAGCATTCTTATGTTATTTTTGTTGTAGAGTAAATTTTGAGAGCCTGTATGGAGCTTAAGGAATCCGTAAAAATGCAGATGGTAGTGTTTGTTTGGTCAGATGTTGTTTGCAAGGTCTGAACTATGGCTGCGAGTTTTGCTGGATACTGGAGTTTGCCGGGAGATTATAGGGTTGTTCACACAAAATTATACCAAACAGTCTAGCAACAAAAACAATAATACCAGATTTTACCATTTTAATTTTGTTATGAATATGTATACATGTTCTTTTAACTTCTTTAATCAGTTCTCTGTTTATATCAAGTTCATTTTTTTACCTTTTATATATTTATCATTATTCACTTGATAAATGTTTTTTACTATGGGTTGGTTAAAAAATACAATAACAATAACCATTTACTACACCACACCTATATTAAATTCAAAATCCTTCATACTCTTTACCTATTTCATATTTTTTTTACCTTTTTAATTCGGTATCCCATTTAAATTTCCCTCAAATACTCAGATCTTGGGGTTTTTGTGGGGGTGGGGGTGGGGTGGGGTGAGGGGTGGGGGGATGTGGTGTTTTTGTTTTTTAGTACTAGTAACACCACATTGTCAAAATTTCTATTTTTTGTTTCCCTTATTTCCTAATAAGTGTACTACCCCGTCGCCGAAATACCTTAGTTGTGCGCGCGACATTAATTTAAGCAAATAACTACTACTACCTTACTCCAAACGACACACACCTTCTTCATTCATAATTGGGCTGTTCCATTATTCTACAGAGCAAAAATTCATTTCCCACGCTGCCTACAATATTTTTGTTGGCAGTTTGGGATGTAGGCAGTTTGGAACTGTAGGCAGTATGGGACCTAACCTGCTATACAGGCGATAATAAGTTGGTGATTGCATCATAGAAAACATAGGCAGATCCAGTGTGTGTGTGTGTGTGTGTGTGTGTGTGTGTGTGTGTGTGCGCGTGCGCACCCCCCAACCCCCGCCCTGAAAATTTATTAAATGACCATTGAACTGTTGTGAAAATGAAGTGTGCACCCCTCTTTTGTCAATAGTGTGCACAATAGTGTGTCAGTAGTATAAATGGGAAAACACCGTTCGTCCGGATGGTTGTGTTCCCATTGAAATCGTCCGATTCACAAATGTCGAACCATGCACACGTATGCGACCCCAGTAGTAATCCCCGACAATAAGGATTTCGGAATAAGGAGATGCAATAAGGTTAGTCCGTACTGGGTATTTCAGATTGTGAACTCAACGTCTGGTAATGCGCAAAAAAAACGTTGCATATCTCAGCTGTCTTAACAGTTTTAGATAACACCATGAACGGCCTTGAGACGGCTGTGCTTGGCGTTCATTCAGCAACTGCCCCGTAAAGGCTGCACAGGTTATTCAGTTGGCGCGTGGGACAAATTGTGCAAAGTCATTGTGACTCATATTTTCCTCATATTGAACAAAGCCGTTGAATTAAACCATTCACAGTTTCGCCATGACTGAGAAGTCCTACACAACAAGTGAGTACGATTTGTTCATTATATCACATTGCCGACGTTGAGATCTGCTTATTGTTCAGGTCTCCATTTGGTGTTTTGTGTAGATATACGTCAGATGTATATGGCCTACTTGCGCAGTGAACCTGACAACCCGATCCTTTAAGTACGACAAGCATGGGTTGCTGAAGATCAATTCTAATCCGGATCTGATGATAGGTAAAGGCCGGTTCTGCCCCACTTTGACCTAGTTTTCGATGGTGCCGACCTACTTAGGCTGGGGTATCACCAGTGTTGCAAGATATGGTGCAATACACCTGGCTATTTTTAGAAGTGAAAAATCCTCCAGTCTAAAGATTGCGAGAAATGGTATAACTACGATTTGGAGGGCGACTAATCTACTATTTATCCATTATGTTTTTAGATGTTGGGTCATCTTTTTCCCAGCTGGTATCACCAGAACCAGATTCGGTATTATCAGTAGAAAGGACAAGAATATGTCATTTGTCAATAGCTTAGCGCGTACAATAGCCGCTCGACATTTATGGGCGAAATGAGGTCACTGCTTGCCATATACAGTCACTCGCTGATTCACATGCTCGGTCATAGTGCAAATCGCATACACTAGCCGACAATATTTAAATCATAACTGTCACATATACTATTCTGTGGTGATATGTATCACCCAGTTCTCTATATAAGCAAAATGTTATCATCGGCAGACTGGGTGGATCAAAACATGTCTAGACATGAGCTCAGTGAAGAGTCCTGTTAGCAACAATAAAAGCAGTTATCTCCCTTCCCTGTTTTATTTCAAAGCGCTAACTAACGCTCGCTTATGCTGGTTACACTGTTTGTATTATAAACCAGCTGACCGTGAAGGCGGGTTATTCGAATTGCCGTCACCGCAGAGAAAGGATCTTTGGAGGGCTTGCTACACAGATTGTTGTTGGGAAGAAACTTTTGAAAAAGGTTAGTGAGCAGCACCTCTATCTGACTGACTTATTTTCCGAATAATATCAACCAAGTTTATGTGAATGATAGGACGTGTGCAGGCTATAATATATGATTATATAACTGAGGTTGAGTAACCACACCCTTGTGTATTTTATACCATATGGAACCGACACGATTAAACAATCTACCTCTTGTTTTAGAGAATGTCAGAAAGACAAACGTTTCTCAACAACGTGGGTTGTTTATCCGATTTTAGAGAAATGGGCTGCAGAAAATGGTTTGATAAATGACCCTGAAGTTAATTTGAAGAGGATTGAGTTGATGGCCAGCCAAACTGTCAAAACTAATGAGCAGAGTACTGAGTCACCACCAACCCAATCCACGGTTCAGAAGATATTCCATTGCCATCTGTGTAATCAATCCTTTACACAGAATAAGTCACTTCTCCGACATGTTCGCACAGTGCATAGCAATGAAAGATTTCACTGTCAACGATGTGAGAAGTCATATTCACGCTTGGACGCACTCCATAACCACAACTGTGAGTCAAGCTTGAAGAGAGAAGGTAGTTGGGCAGCAGAACCGTCAGCAAACGTCCTTGTCTTCATCCACTGAACACCCACTCCAACATTCCAGCGAGATATGATACCTGCAATTGGTGTGGACATTTTAAGTGTTTGCTTCCGAACAAGCTATTCTGTGAGGGTTGCTCACATTCAGGTCGGGAATGTGTTACATGTCGACGTCCTCTTCCCGAACGTTTCTATACTCAACAAGTGAGGCAGTGCGACTCCTGTGTAAGAAGACGTGAGCGGTATGAGGCGAGGCGGAACAACCAGGTGGGAGCGGGTCAAAGGTCAGCGCTAGCTGGGTCACTGAGGACAACAACAATCGCCCCCAGTGAAACAAACAATGTTGACATTCTACAGTTTTTGGCTGATGAACAGTTCAACATACAAACAGTTTTGCATGAGTTTATGACAAGGAAGAAAGGTATGAAATGGTTTCTTACATTAAAACTGAAATTCATTAAATATGATGAAAACAATGGAAGTATGTTGGCCGAACCCATTTTGAGAACCACAAACTTTTGGGTGACCAATTTCTCGGAAATAGAACTGCAGTTAGCTGAAGCTTTTCAGAAACTGTATACCTCTTCTCAAGAGTTTCAGGCCGAGGGGAGCGGGTGGTTGTTGGATGGTATCATTCATCTTGAGGTAAATACAGCCGAATATGTTCCTCTGTCAGCAAGCTCATATATTCCTCTCCCCAAGTATCTGGCAGAAAAGAAAGCCGTTTTTAATATCAAAAATGATGACAAGAAATGTTTTATATGGTCGGTATTGGCTGGTCTGCATCCTTTAGATAGAAAGCAACATCCTGAGAGGGTTTGTAAATATCTTCCATTTCTATCTGAGTTGAATCTTCAAGGCATTGATTTCCCCATACCTCTGTCCCAAATTCCGCAATTTGAGAAACAGAATCAAATCTCAGTGAATGTCTTTGGGTATGAAGCGAAGTTGTTTCCTCTCCATATTAGGAAACAAAAGTGTGACAAAACAGTAGATTTATTGCTACTCTCTCATGGAGAGAAGAGACATTTTTGCTTGATTCCAAATTTTAGTTGCCTTATGGGGGACAGAACCAAGCATGAACACAACCAGTTTTACTGCACGCGTTGTCTACATGGGTTTAGCAGACAGGATTTGTTAGGGGATCATTCCACTTATTGTTCTGAGCACAGTCCGCAGAAGATTACTAGAAGAGAAAGTCATCAATGAAAAGTTGCAAACGTCATATCCTCTTCATATGACAAAAGAAGCAGAAATGAACTTTCAAATGGCTGATACCTGCCATGTTTGTCAAGAACCTTTCGATTCAGAATCTGTCAAGGTGCGCGACCACGATCACATGATAGAAAGAAATAATTATCGTGGTGCTGCACATAAGGATTGCAATCTACAACTGAAGTTCAAAAAAGAGTAAGAAAGTGAAAAAGGGTGAGAAAGGAGATCAGGGTAGAAACAAAACAGGTAATAAAGAGAGAAAGGGACCAGATTGTGTCATACCCATAATTTTTCACAATCTAAGGGGTTACGGTTCACACCACCTCATTAAACATCTAGAAAAATCAGTGAATCAAAAGCTTAGCTGCTTAGCTAACAACATGGAGAAATATATTTCCTTCTCCATTGGAAATTTAAGGTTCATTGATTCTCTCCAGTTTCTTTCAGCCTCCTTAGATACTTTAGTTACAAATCTGGTGAAGGAAGACCCATCCCAGTTCTGTCATTTAAGAAAGGAATTGCCAATCCCATCCTTGGCAGAGCTGTTACTGAGAAGGGGGGGTCTATCCCTATGACTTCATGGATGATGAATGCAAATTTAGACTGACACAACTCCCTAAACAGGCAGATTTTTTCAGTAAGTTAACTGGAATTCTCTCACTGATGGAGATTATGCACATGCACAAAATGTGTGGGCTTTCTTTGAATTACAAAACATGGGGGAATATCACGACCTGTATGTGAAAACAGACGTATTGCTTTTAGCAGATATCTTTGAAAGTTTTAGATCAATGGCACTCCAGTACTATCATTTAGACCCAGTTCATTACTACACTCTGCCTGGCATGGGTTGGGATGCCATGTTGAAAATGGGAAAAGTTGAGCTTGAGCGTTTGACTGATATTGACCAAATTCTCATGATAGAATCAGGAATGAGGGGTGGTATTAGCATGATATCTAAGAAACACAGCCTTTCAAACCTTCCGGGGCAAGATGGTTATCATTCAGATAACCCGAACAAACATTTGATATACTGGGATGCCAACAATCTCTATGGCTGGGCAATGTCTCAAGCCCTACCTGAGCGCAATTTTGAGTGGGTTGAGGGTGTTGATGAGTTAGACATTATGGGTGTGACCCCTGATGCTGACATTGGATATATTTTAGAGGTGGATTTAGAATATCCCACATATCTGCATGATGCCCACAGTGACTATCCCCTTGCTCCTGAGTCTATGATAGTAACCAAGGGCATGCTTTCACCACACTCTGAGAAATTGAAAGAGAAATTGGTAATCAAGGGAAAACCAAGCGGAAAGCTTGTCCCTAATTTGTTAAACAAAGAGAAATATGTCTTACATTATAGAAATTTGCAGTTTTATCTGAGTCAGGGATTGATTCTCACAAAGATTCATAGAGCCATTCAGTTCAGACAGACACCATGGCTTAAACCATTCATTGATTTCAATACAGAGAAACGTAGACAGTCTACAAATAAGACTCACAAAGCTTTTTTCAAACTGATGAATAACTCTTGTTTTGGTCGCAGCATGATGAATGTGCGAAAGCATGTCAATGTGGAACTTGTCAATTCTGACAAACGCCTGAGAAAGCTGTGTGCCATATTATTTCTATCGTTTGAAGTATGAACTAGAGGGAAATTATTTTCTCCTAGCGGTATGAAGTGTTCACAGGGGTTATCTGCCCGGTAGGTGGCGTGTTATACGAGTATATAAGGGTGTAGATATTTGAATTTGGCATTCTCGATTAGTGCACTCCCGGCCTTTCAGCATTTAACATGTTTGTATTCTAATATTGTATTTCTGTATGTTTCAGATGCTCATGATCATCGTTCGTGTGATGTGGCATGAGTGATTTAACCATGGTGGTTTATGGCTGTCGAGCCGTTATAATACGGTAATATGGTATTGTGTGCCATATGTCGGCTGTCGAGCCGTTATAATACTGTAATACTGGAAAGTATACCATATGTCGGCTGTCGAGCCTTTATAATACGATGATTTTGGAATGTCGAGCGGTTATACTACGGTAATATGAGAATAATGTATTGGTGGTTATGATATTGTCCATTGAATACCTCCTGTGATTTGATGACAGAAATTGTCAGCATACTGTATATTATGAATTTCAGGCGTATGCTTGAATGTTGTGTAAATAATGCTTATATTTATGTAATTTATGCTGCTGTTGTCAGTTGTGCATATGCTCACATCAACCTCCATAAACGTATCGCTGGATTGCAGCTATATCCATGTTTAAGGTTAACGATACTGTAAACCCTCCAGTTTTTGGTGCTGCTGCTGCATTCGTTGAGGGAACACGGTTCCAGAGTTTTTTCTCTACGGGAGTTGTTATCTCTGGTTTACGTGTCGGGCTTCGGCATGCATTTCGTTATTCACGTATCATATTGTTGAATGTAGGTTGTTTTGATGAAACAATGTAAATAAATTGGCCGCGGAACGCACGTCGGTTCCTGTTGTTCAGTGTGTGCTTGTTGTGTTTTATGTACACGGGAATGGGGGCGACTACGAGAAAGCCCACTTTTGAAGCATTCAAAATTTGTAACCCTGATTTAGCCGCTGTTCACTTGAAGAAAGCAAGATTGTTTTTTAATCAACCTCTTTACGCTGGTTTTTCCATATTAGATTTATCCAAAGTACACATGTACGACTTCCACTACAACTTCATTAAACCCAACTATGGATCCAAAGCACAGTTGTGTTTTACAGACAGAGAGTCGCTGTGCTATGAAATTGAAACTCCTGATTTGTATGGTGACATGGGAAGGCATGCACATCTGTTTGATACCAGTAATTATGACAAAGACCACCCTATCTTCTCAAGAGAAAATGAAAATGTGTTAGGAAAATTCAAAGATGAATTGAAGGGAGAGGAATTGATAGAGTTTATAGGTCTCCGCCCCAAAATGTATTCCATGTTTTATAAAGAAACAGAAACAAAAACAGTTGATGGAGAGAAAGTTGAAATAGTGCATGATATTGAGAAAAAGACAGCCAAAGGTATCACTGAAACTGTGAGAGACAAACATCTTCGCCATGAACTGTACAAACAGTGTCTTTTTGACAAGGTACAATTCAGACATGAGGTGGGACAAATTCAGAGTAAAAGCCATCAGCTGTACACTGCTTGCATCAACAAAATCAGTCTTTGCCCCTTTGATGACAAACGTTTTGTGTTAAAGGATGGAATCCAGACACTAGCCCATGGTCATTACAAGATTAAGTCAGATTCAGACTTGTAATCCTTTCATTAATATGTATTTTGTGTAAGTCATTTCATACCTCTCTTCTCAGATGTATATTTATGTATTGTTGATGTACCTAGCTAACACATACTGTAGTTACATTGTTTTTGCTTAGAACTGGAGAATGTCAATATGTACTTAGTTTTGCTAGAGCGGATCTTTTCTGACCATCTGTACAGTTAATGTTTGATTTGTGTAATACATAGCTGGATAAGGCTCTATATGCGCATCAGCATTAAAAACAACCATTAGCTTTGTAACATGTATAGACTGTTAAACCATGCCATGTCCATTGACTGATTGTTGCACTATTTGACAAATGTATATTGAATTCTTGAATATGTTATGATTACAATATTGTGTTTGTGTTCATGAAATAAAGATATTAACTTTCATCTTTGGTTGTGTTATAACTGGGTGTGTTTCTAGATCTCAAGGTTATAATAATAACTGTAGCTTGTGTATGACGATCGAATCATGTTGAGAAATGAAGAAATCAACCATGTATAATACTATTTACACACTTTATTACATATATACGTTAATACACTTTGACCATGAGACACATACTTTGATGTATTGGATACAGTTTTTAATTCATATGTGTATTCATATTAGACACAGGACGCATCCATATATGATACAAAGAATGTGGAGTTCACAGTTCATCATCATCTGTATCATCATGCTCAGACATGTCAACAAGTTCTAAATCTTCAGCCTGGCTCAAGTCCACATGTGAGAGAATATCTTTCACGACCGGTTTCATCCACTGAGTGATTTTAGCATCCATTTCTCTGGGGTCCATGTCAGGGTCCAGGGCTGTGATTTTCTCCAATATAGGCTTGAAGAGGGGTCCATATCCAAAATAGCTGGCATAACGAACGGCTATCACAAGTCTATCAAGAAAGGTAGTTTGCCAGCATTTCTGCAGTTTCTTCTCAATCCATTGTTCACTTTTTCCTTTATCCTCAAAGTCCTCCTTTTTCTTCCAAATGTCCTCCTTACAAGCTTTTAAAGTTTGTTCCCACATGTCTTCAATGCCTTTCACTTCTCTCTCTTGATCAGCTTTAGTACCTGTCTCTACTGGACGGAGGATATCATTCTTAGTATCATCAGCTGCATCCACCTTAGCTCGCTTCTGCAGAGGCTCCCCACCATTTTCCGGGCACCAGGTCATCACATGACGTTGAAGATCATGGTTGTTTTCAAATACAATACCACACTCATCACAGGAGGGCATGTTTTCGTCTTCTGAGGCCACAGTATTCTCAACCAGCTTGGAGATGTTATCTATCTGAGTGTCTGGAGTCAAATGATAAGGTGGTTCAGGTTGCTCCTCTTTTATAGACCGGATCCCAGTCTCGCTTTGTCTTGTTTGTGGTGGGAGGTTTGATATGTGTCCTTTTGGTATCTCTGGGACTGAGGGTATGTCAGCTTTTGTGACCACATTAGGTTGTAGCCTCTCTGATTCCATACTTGTGAGTCGTAGATCGATAGTCAGATTGCCAAAGGGCTTTTGAACAGCTGTCTCATACACTGACATAAACCTATCAGCATTGTTGGGGTAGATACGTCTGGTAACTATTGGACTTGGAGAGTTAAATAGAGTCACATAGAGGGAATTCAGAGCGATGTCACGTGACTCTTTCCCCCGGGGAAATAAATTTTGTAACAGCAGAAAAACAATAACATTTCTGTGATGAGAAGTTCGTGTAAATAACTGACTAACGCGTTTATCATCCTTGGCCTCGGACATCAAGTCATCCAAAACAAGCATGTTGTCATTTCTAGCATCAAAGTAGGTATCGTCGAGTAAATCGTAGGGATTTCCTTTCACAAACTTGACATGGGATAACTGTTCACTGATCACCTGGTGCAGTGGCTGCCATTGGGTGTAGCACCAGACAATGTGATTAGGTGCTGGCTGTATACATCCACGCGTGAGAAGGTTGTATACAAACATAGATTTACCACTGCCAGTAGGACCCACAATGACTGCATTAGAGGGGATGGTAAACTTGAAATGTTCTCCTTCATAGGGTTGTTGTTGTTGTTGCTGTTGTTGTTGTTGCTGCTGCTGCTGCTGCTGTTGTTGTTGCTGATTATAATCATTGTGCTTGATATTCATATGACGTTTCAGGCTATCAGGCCAGGCATAAGTCTTAGAACACTCTGGACAGGAGTACATGTTGACAGTTCAATAGTCCAACTTTGAATGAGAACAAGTGATGATCTTGTTGCCCTATATATCCGCTACACAGACTGCAGATGACCCTCAGGGATCCAACTATTGAATTTCTTTGGATAACCCATCCATTTGACAAAGACTTCCTTCTGACCATTTCTCCTTCTGGCTTTAAGCACTTTCTCCACACGCCATGTACTGTCACCATGCTTATCTACTTTCTGAAGTTCATTTGTATAAAATGTACCAGTGATTGGATCCTCAGCCATGTCCTTGACTTTATAGACTGGTATCCCATCCCTGTAGTATCGTCTGCTGATAATGAATATTTCCTCCGTCCATTTCTCCTGATAGTCACGTTGAAAGGCATGTCTCAAATGTGACAGTCGCACCTGATCCCCTACTTTGAATTTAAAGGTTTTCCTTCTGGTTTCATTCATCTTCTCCGCTTTAGGCTTGCCTTGTTTGATCAGTGGGTTGATGTACTGTTCTTTCCAAACAACAGATTCATTGTTCACATTTATATCAGTGGGTGAACGTTCATTCAGTGATCTATGAGGTCTTTGATTATAATCATTCACCAAGTCTTGTAAGATGTCAAGATAACGATACGTTTGTTTGTAAGTGAAGTATCTGTAAATAGTTGTCTTGAGAGTTCGTATGACTCTCTCTGCATAAGACGCCTTGGTTTCATTCTGTGTGACATAGTAGGTAATACCCTTGCTGGCTAAATATGATCTCACTTTCTTGTTATCAAATTCACGACCTTTGTCAGATCTGATAATGTGTGGTAGAGTTGTACGAGAAAATATCTTCTTTATGGTCGTTAGACGTCGTTGAAGTGAATAGGCATCTTGAGACGCCAGCCACTTCTTGATGCGATGTAAACCGATATCAAATTTCCCTTCCTTTTCCACTAAGTAATATAATTTCGATGGACCTGAAAAGGAGGCTGGGTGTTTGAGATTAAAGTAAATGCTGGACAAATACTCCTTCCATCCTTCAGCGGGCATGGTTGGGCTTGAACTGAATAGAAAACAAATATAATCTAACTTTATAAGCAAGGCAATGACCCATTCAGTAGGGTTTGTTTACACAGCCGTCTGCTACGAGCTCTGTGTCACCTTGTTGACACGACAGTCTTGATCTTGCTATGTGAGGGATTCTCTCTCTTCTAAAAATAGTCCGCGCATTGCCCCATATCTTATCTTACAACACTGGTGATACCCCAGCCTAAGTAGGTCGGCACCATCGAAAACTAGGTCAAAGTGGGGCAGAACCGGCCTTTACCTATCATCACGGATCATCAGGGACATGAGGTGGATGGAATGGAGGGTGGGTTGAGAGAGAAAGTAGTGTCTCTATGTGAAATTGGAGTTAACAAGATTCCAGTTCTATCAATTTATTACATTTTACGTACGACAAAATAAAATGTTCTATATTCCAATTAGCATTTTTTGTGAAAAACGTTCATGCACACGCCCTAACAAAGCAAGCACTATGTAGAGTAGTAGTGAGCTCGAGGTTGAGAGAAGTGTTGGAACGAAAGTACGGGTATGTGATGTGTAAGATTCAAATTTAAATACCACGTTATGAGTACTCTTGACAGTTGAGTCTGGTTCACTCTATCAAGTGTTTATTGGTTTCAGCGTCTGCCTTTCCGCCCCTCGCCGCGGGCAAATTGAGGCTCTACAGCATGAGGTTCTGCGGCTTTTCTGAGAGGGCGAGACTTGTTCTAGCTCATAAGAACATCGAGTGAGTATACATAAGAGATTAAGTACCCTTAAGCCAAGAGAGCATGCTATTAGTAACGTTGAAAGACAAATAAGGTTCCGTCTTATACTCTGAGAATGCGAGACAGGATCTTCCTCATAAGGACACATAAGAATCAACATACACTAGAGGTTCTCACTACCCATACTGAGGTCACGGTACGAGACATATCTCGATACTGAGGTCACGGTGCGATACATATCTCGATACTGAGGTCACGATGCGACACATATCTCGATACTGAGGTCACGATACGATACGTATCTCGATACTGAGGTCACGATACGATACGTATCTTGATACTGAGGTCACGATGCGATACATATCTCGATACTGAGGTCACGATGCGACACATATCTCGATACTGAGGTCACGACTCGATACTGAGGTCACGATACGATACGTATCTCGATACTGAGGTCACGACACGATACGTTTCTCGATACGGAAGTTGCGATATTTCTGATTGTTATCTCGATAAAGAGATCACGATACGATATGTATCTCGATACTGAGGTCACGATACGATACGTATCTCGATACTGAGGTCACGATGCGATACATATCTCGATACTGAGGTCACGATGCGACACATATCTCGATACTGAGGTCACGACTCGATACTGAGGTCACGATACGATACGTATCTCGATACTGAGGTCACGACACGATACGTTTCTCGATACGGAAGTTGCGATATTTCTGATTGTTATGCGGCTAGCATGGTCTAGTCTTTCCTATCACAAATGGCTCAATGTATTATCTTAGGCCAAAAGGTACAAGACCTATTATCAGGGCGGTCTTAGGGCCAAATAAATTATACACGCTTTAGTAAAAGTTTCTATATGAGACATTGGAGCAGCATCAAAATAATAATCGACATAATTTGAATCGATAATATAACAAATGAATCGTGCATCGTATCGCGTAAAGCTTGCCAAACTACCAAATGAGACAAGGATGACAAAATTCAAAGCATGCGATTTGACAGTAAATACATTAGCCCCAAACCACAGCCTAATGTTTTGTCATCTATGCCTCATCTAAATCTATTGACTACATGTATAGTTTTATATGGCTATATACAGTGAACTTTCTTGCATTCGCCCTGGAACCAACTTGGTGTGTTGACCTCGTTACATTCTTTGCGTTTTACATAGCCCTAAGACTCCAGGAGTGTCAATATATGATTTTATACAGATGCTATTTGTGCGTTACAATCCCCTGTATTCAAGATCAACATTGCTTCAAAAAGGCATTTGTCTTGTCATCAGACACGAGGTAGTGAACATTGACTTGAAGCAGAAGCCATCTTGGTTCTGGGACAGGAACCCCACAGGCAATGTTCCAGTCTTAGAACAAGACGACAAAGTGATCTATGAGTCCCTGAATACCTGGATGAAACGTACCCCAACAACAAACTGACCCCCACTGACCCGTACAGGAGAGCCCGGGACAGGATCGTGGTGGAACTGTTTGGAAAGGTAACAATCTTGTTTACAATCCAAATGGCGCAAGTAATGCCATAAAAATCAATACAAGACAAATCTTATGGATAACAACTTCTCTATTTGTCTACCACGACGTTTCTGGGCTAGTTCTTGCCCCTTCTCAAGGTGGATAATCATTTTCCACCTGAAGAAGGGGCAATAACTAGCCCAGAAACTTTTGTCTCGTATTACTACGCCAACTTCTAAATGCCTTTGAAGAATTTCGATAAAAATCATTTGTCAGAAGGCTTACCGTAACAGTTGCATGAAGGTGGTGACTTCAGGCTGAGTTCACCATAACCGATTCCTCTTGGCCTGAATTCCGCTGATTGCTACGGAAATACAATGTTTACCAAATGCATTGTAGCGTGGGTCTATTGGGAGGGGGACACTGTTCCTCTTGTTTTGAACATGCTAGTATTTTGAAGGACTTATTTCATTGTAAATACAATCTGATGGACAAAACGTTTACCACAACAATGGGAGAGAGACAGCAAAATGAATTCACCATGACCTATCCTTCTCGGCCTGATTTTGCTGATTTTGGTTTGGTTTGGTTTGTTGTTTTACGCCGCACCCAGCAATATTCCAGCTATATGGCGGAGGTCTGTAAATAGTCGAGTCTGGACCAGATAGTCCAGTGATCAGCAGCATGAGTATCGATCTACACAATTGGGAACCGATGACATGTGTCAACAAAGTCAGGGACCCTGACCACCTGGACCCGTTAGTCGTCTCTTACAAGTATGGGATGCTGAAGACCAATTCTAACCCGGCTATTCATGGGTGCTGTGCTATTTGCCATGGAAAGATATTGCTTACCAAATGGATTGTAGTTTGTGTGTAGGGGAGCTGAGAAATTGTTCTAAGATCCTAGTCTTGATGACATATTTTTACGGAATTATTTTATTATAAATGTAACCTTATGGGGTACAAATGTCCCGCAATGCGTCCCAAGATTCCTCCCAAGCTTAAACTGTTTACGTTGTGTAGGGCACATAAATAACCTACGAGAAAACTCATACTTGCTATCGTCGAGAATCTAGTATCACAGCATGATTTTGTATATACAGTGGAATCTGTCAAATCCGGACTCTGTGTAATATCTGAGTCCCGCCAATATCTGAGTCACGGCAAAATTGTCCTAACAATCAACTTCCTATGAGAACAATGCTTTGTAATCCGGACTTAGCTGACTAAAATAATGTAATTCACTGGAAGAAATAGGTCCCTACTCGCATACAAATGTTGCACATTTCAGGCAGCGACCCTTTTGTACAAGATGCCTTTCAGCAAAGATGTGCCAACAGAGGCTATTAAAGGATTCCATGATGCTCTTGGTCAAGTGGAGAAGGAACTTGCAAAGAGAGGAACCCCGTTCTTTGGTGGTAAGAATATTTCCACCTATTCTTGTCAAGAAAATCGATTATGCAAGAAATTGTGATAAGAAGTGAGCTCCGGATCACATTGTTTGAAATCCACTTCATGGTAACCGCAGAAAGATCAGAATATGTAGTAAGTCTAGATTACCACAATTTCATGAAGATGAAAGTCTCTGGGCTCCTTTTCATTATATTTTATGATTTTATTTTATCATTTTAGAGACAAGAGGTTCTTCATGAGGGCATGTAGTACTTTAAGAAGATGTTAATTAAGAAATACAGTTGGCTCTACCACCATGTATAGTGTAATAAAGCACACTTTCTCCCTGAACTATCATAGTTAAAAGTCACATGCAACGTAAAACACAACTTTGCAGATTCTTAAACCTTTCGGTATGGACTTACCGAAACCAGTCATCAAAACTTCAAATTCAACTTCAAATTAAAAAATAACGCAATGAAAAAACCCCGCGCGAAATCGGAGTTCAAACGATTCACTAATTTTCCCCCAGCGCTTGGGGGAAAAGTGGTTTCAACAGCTGGTCTGAGCTGCGCTCATAGCACATGCGCAGTGAAATAGGTTCGCGCAGCTTGGAGCGGGTTGTCCGGATTATAAGGTCGTGAGCAGGAGTAGTCTAATCAAAACAAATAGTAAATAATCTACTCATTACATAAAAGAACCTTGTCAGGATCTAGATCTACTCAGCTATGTGTCAACCAGTGAGGCGTTCGACATTTCAAGACAGAAAACCTTCGTTGGCGGTGAAGACTCGGTGAAGGCTTTGGTGTGAGCAGGGAGACTATATAAGTTGTAGAGTATCCCTGGTGTGAGCTATTTTTCTAATGTTTTGTTGATATATCACAGGCGCGAGCTTTTTATATGTTATGACAGTAGATTACCGATTTAACTGTTTATATAATTTCATTTGTCTATTTCACGACACGTTCTTCTTACTGAGTCACTTTCTCAGTTCGATACTGAAAAGCAATGTCATTATTTAGCGTTGACAGAATTTCTAATTGTGATATAGATATGTCGTTGTCACAGACAAAACTCAATGTCTGTTTTATTGACACCTATGTGTCTGCCTGCCTGTCTGCTAATGACAGTATTCAATACACAACTTCGATCACTGACCACATGCAATTTGAACTTAACACCTATCAGGGTATACACCATAAACAAAACGCATTGATTTTTGGCCCGAGTTCGGTCTCTGTCACATTATGTAATTACACAGACTTGTACACATGACATGTTATGATGTCTGTTGATTGCAAAATGTTATACACAAAAAATGAGCATGTATTTACGTAACCCAACATCTCTATATATACACACACACAATGAGCCGTGATGGCATCTGCAAATGAACCGGCTGTTACACTTGAGTGCACATCCACCCGCTCTGACTGGGTTCGGTATCCCGGCTGCTTCATTTCTAGGGAAGTAATCCCAAGTACAAAATATTGCACTTTTAATTTGCGATTGTACGCTTATAATTTTGTTTATATGGGTTTTTTTCATAATAAGCAATGTATATTATATGTCATGAACAAATGATAATTGTGTTTGAACTATGTTTGATTTTTTGATTGCATGTGAAGTCGGTTATCAAGGGTATGTTTGATAACAAGGGGACAGACAAGAATGGCGTAGTGACGTCATTACAGTTTGACATCATGCAAGAAATGTACTTTATCGCCCGATTAAGTACTGTCGGCGCCTTTGATTTTTTAGCGAAACATCTTAGAATTCCTATTAGGTATTCCTATCCATATCAATGTCTTCTATTTACATTTTAGGCAGCTCTGTGCAGATGGTCGACTTCATGATCTGGCCTTACGCTGAAAAGTTTGACGCCGTGGCCCAGGCAGTGGAGGGAGCGAGGGTCACAGATGACCGGTACCCGAAGTTAACCGAGTGGATTGAAAAGATGGGGACGGTACCAGCTGTGCAGAAGTGTCGCTGGGATACACCGTCACTTGTCCATTTCATCGAAACAACCATAGCTGGAAAACCAGACTATGACATGGGACTTTGATGAGCATCTGTGTCTTGATAGAACTGTGTAGATGATTTGATTAACGACAACATTGATCATATTGTTATAATGACAAATGATATCACAATTAATTTGATACCGATATAATGATATCACTTTTTGCTGTGATATTATTTCATTCAGCGATATAAATCTTTCACTAATGTTACTAATGCATTTCGTGATACCCAAAAACGTGATATCCTTAAATAAATAATTTATGATTAAAAGAAGTACTGATATCAGTAAATTGGTAATAAATGTGAAAACGTCTTGCCATAATAACCTACTCATGAATGCAATAGCATGATGTCCGGATTAATGTTGTCCACTCTGGCAGCGTTTCGTTCTTTTGCTTCCAACTATTACAGTTGTCTAACCTTCTCAACTAAACGCTGTGTAATACAATAACATAGTGATGTCATTATTCACCAAGGCAACCTTGTGAAACGAATACCTTCAAGGTCAACTTCAACTGATCCTGTCTGGTCTAAAGCTACCACATGGATGTTGGTGCCATGATGCCAATGCCATCGAGCTCTCAAGGACAAACACTCCTGGTGTGTCGAGCTCACGTACATGCAATCTCATTAAAATCGGATCCTAGTTCTAACAACCGCAGAACAAAACCAGTCAATTTCAGGTCACGTAAAACCCGTTGTCCGACCACTCAGCGCGTGTCAGCTCGACAGTATCTCAAGCTTCAATGGAATGACATTTGCCCATGAGAAGTACTGCCATACATTCTAAACCACACCTTTAACACTTTAGACTTGTTTTGTTTAGTTTCCAAATTCTAAAACAAAAATTTGTCAAATGAATTTCAAAGCCAAGTCGCCATTTGTGAAATTCGTGCCGAAAAGCTGGAAAGAGTTGCTTCAGGATTGGCCAATGTCATTGACATCCATTTGTCAATGTGACATCGTTTTATGTACAGTCAGAATGTAACACCCTTGTATGTACAGTCAAAATGTGAAATTTTACAATTGAGTCTTTTGATACGGTGAACTTGGTCTTCGAAAATACGATTTGGTATTGCTTTATGTCAATCAGAACAACGTAATAATAATTGGTTTTTGATGTCACTGTAAGCAATAGTCCAACCATCATGGTGGCCTGCAGATGTTTGAACCAGACCGACCGTGCCTGACAACGTGGCTATGAATCACCGTATACGATTCCAACTCACCTTAGTTTTAATGACTACATAGTGCTTAAAATTTGGCGCCTCTCTATACCTATATTTCATGTGATATTTTCTATGCCATTATGAGCGGTGTATTGTCATAATTGCTAGACTTGATTAAAGTTCTTCACACTTTCGTGTGTTATCACAGAGTAAAGTATAATGAATTAAAGAATTTGTTTGATCAACTTTGTTTAATGTCTTTTATCGTTTTCCGTAATGCAGATAAACAATCCACTGAAAACTTCGGACTCGATCGATGCCAATTAACGTCTTCAAAGCAACCATCAAACAATTTGTGTTTCATTTTGTCACGGAAAAATCGAGAAAAAACGAGTGCGAGTGCGTGTGCGTGTACGTGTGCGTGTGTGTGTGTCTATCTGTGTGCAAAAGTTTACGAATGTCTATTTGCCAATTGGGCATTCATAAATCGGTAAGTCAATTGTCTTAAAACAATATGTATGTCACTATAATTGTTTAATAGAACTGTTTAGAGGGTGACATTCAGGCATTCTTGGAGGCCTCGAATTTTCGCACAAATTTTTTTCTTCAGCATAAATATCTTGTCCTCAGGTAAGAATACAATTCTTACAACATAGTTTGTTTTTTATGAAACCCTAATGGTGCTATTGTGGTAGCATAAAATATTTGTTAAGAATTTCAAACGTTAGCAAAGGAACTTGAAAGAACGAGAAAATACTCTAAATTTCCAGGTTGATTGTTTTAGAAATCTGAAGCAACGAGAAAAGAAATAGTAATTTCGATTTTTAAAAACAAGGGGAAACTACAAGAAAGCAATTACTGAACAGAATGCAAAACGACAGAATGCATGATGAATATTTCTGAAGGAAGAAAAGCACGCAAAAATATAATATTTTATAAGGTTTATGAAAAAGAATTTGTATAAAACCAACTCATCACGCAAGTGATTTCGTGATCTTGCACACTCTTATTTCTTCTACATATCAGCATATATTTGCTGATTCGTTTGATCACGCTATCATTGTGCGCATGGCGACTTTATTACAGTGGGTAGGTTTTTAACATTGAGGGGCAGTGGGGTAGCCAAGCGGTTAAAGTGTTAGCTCGTCACACCGAAAACCCGTGTACGATCCCCATATGGATACAGTATGTCAAGCCCATTTCTGGTGTCCCCCGCCGTGATATTGCTATAATATTGATAAAACCATAATCACTCACTCACTCACTCGCTCATTGCCTTGAAACACACACACACGCACAACCTCCCTTGCGCGGTGGGTTAGCCTAATGGTTAAAGTGTTTGCTCGTCACGCCGAAGTCCCGATTCGATTACCCACATGGGTACAATGTGTGAAGCCCATTTCTGGTTTCCACCGCCGTGATATTGCTGGAATATTGCTAAAAGCGGCGTAAAACCATACCCACTCACTCACACAACCTTCAGTCTCTCTCCCACCCCCACAAACACAGACACTATAGGGCGGCGTAAAACTCAACTCACTCACTCACTCACCCACTCACTCACAGACAAACACACACAAAGATGCATACACACTCCAGGCAGCATACACCCATTGAATACCAAACCTACTGTGATATAATTAAAGTGCCCTCCTTTCTGACACTGTTATCTATATGCACGCCTAGAAAGCTACTATGTTGGGTGAATCAGTTCAATCCAGGCAATATTAATCTCCCCTTATCATGACAGATATTCTGATATCTCGGTTCAGTAGCTGACTTCAGTCACGTACAGTATCGCCGTGACCAAAGCGTGAAACATGTCTCAACACTATTATTGCGTGGTATCTGACCTCGTGGTCGTAATCAGATTGCCATCTTACGTGAGTCACGCCTGTTATTTACTTGTACAACAGACCCGTGAAGATCCGGGATAGAATTTATCTTCGGCAACCCAACCCAATCAGCCACCATATGTTTGTCGTAAGAGGCGACTATCGGGATCTGGTGGTCAAGCTCGCTGAGTTGGTTGAGACATTTCATAGAATCCCAATTGCGTAGATCGATGCTCATGATGTTGATCACTGGGTAGTCTGGCACAGACTCGATTTATTTAATACACGAGCAGAAAGGTCCTTCTTTTATACCCTTGAAGCCGAGAAGTAGACACGGTAACGACAAGCCTTTTGTTTGAGCCTCTTAAAAAATAGAACGTTTCCAGGGGATCGAACCACCGACATTCCGCTCTCCTGGCAGGAACTCTCTCCACTGCACTTTGAATGTGGTAAAAAATCTATGAAATGTCTGCATAACAAAGTCTGCGTTTGCATACGAAAGAATGAAATTTAACGCGGTATCCATCGGCATTATTTTAGCCTTTTAGCCTCAAAACAACTTTACAAGAGTCAAATATTAATACACAACATATAGGAAGCGACAACGGATCGGTACCCCGATCATACCAAACCGATTAGAAACATGGCCACGGACGGTACCAACTATCGCTGCCACATACGGACACGCATTCATGATTTTGAAACATCCAGAATTTGAAAATCGGACTTTGGACATGGAAACGTTTAAATATCATTACTTGCAGGACTGTTTACCAGGTAGGATGAGATGGTGGGGCTCCTTTGAATTTTTGTTTCCTGAGGTCGATTCAAACAGGCCGTACCGTTCGATACGACCTGGTAAATGGTCCTAGAACGAATTTATTACCCTTTATATTTTTAGGTGTTTTTGTTCGTTTTCTGGAACCGTTTTCATCCATTTCTCATCATATTTCAACCGCTGAATGGGACGCAAAGCGTTTCGTCATGATTGTTGTCGCAGACGAACATTATCGGTCGATATTCGAAGGGGCACAACTCCTGCTGGCTTAAAAACTGTGTTTCAGGTGACTTGTTATTTCAAGTAATACAAACGTTTAGGATGTATCTTCAGGTCTAGTCTTTTACCACTTCCTAAACTTAATAGATGAAAATAGCACATTAAAAATAGATAAAAGGAACTTTTCCTGACAATAATAGTTGAATTATCCACGTGAGTTGGATTTTAATGACAAAGGTCGGCACTGTCGAGGTCGTCCATATCACCCGTTGAAACAGGGTGAGATGAATTCATCAGCTGAACGAAGGCTTGTCAAAGGTTGATACACTGCTGTAAGAATTTGAAGATACTGAGTGAGCTAATTTATCTGAAGGGGTGTCCTCCCATTACGCAGACAGCCAGTTCGCAGACACCTTAAAACAACATTTACGGTTCAATGAACAGATGTGCAACTACCTGTTACCTACACATTATAATGGAATAGTCCAAATAAAAACACAAGAAAAAAATCTAATATTTATTTGATAACAAGAATATAATATTTTTCAAATAACAATGCATAATAGTAGCACAGTAGCTTCAAGTAGATATATCTTTGACATAGCAATGTTTTATCTGTATTTATAGATCTAATCAAAGCTTAGTTATAGCAAGTCCAGTAAAGTTCATGTCTTGTTAGCCAAGTTTTATGAGGTTGGCCACCGCATCTAGGAACTGAAGAGGAGTTTTCTCGCCGCGACTCAGTGTGTCTTTGAGCCTCGGGATCCTGTTGTCGATCTATCTGTAGACTCGCTTGCGACTTGGAGGAGCAGCCCCACAGTCGAGTTGTCTCACCTTGGCTCTGTCAGCCATCTCGATCCTCCGAATTACTTCCACAAAGCGAAATATGTTGGGGTGGCGGTGTGGAAGAGATCTGTTCATCCGACTGTGGAAACCTTCCAAGTTGTTGTTGGTCCTTGGTCCTACAGTGTTGTGATGGTTCCAAAGTGACAGTGGGAATCGGGCGTCATAGTCCACCCATGTGACGACCATGTAATCCTTGAAGTCCTCAATGCGGTCAGAGGCTGGGGAGGAGTCCATGGGATCAATCCAGGTGTCTTGAACCTGATCTTGTGGCAATAAGGCAAGGGCAGCTGCTCTCCTGATGAACTCTTTTGTTCGAAGGAAGTCTCCGAAAGTTGAACACCTCCCCGTGCAGGTCTTGACGATGCATCTCCAGTGGGTGCAGGTCTGTCTGACCTTATTTCTGGTGTAAACATAACCATCCAGAACAATTTGAGGGGCCCCTCTCTGTGACATCAGATACTCCACTCTCCGCACTCCAGCCATATTGATATCGAACAGATATGCTCTTCACCGTTTGATATATTTGTTGAGTCAAATTTAAAATTAGTCCATTGATAAAATTAATTAATTAATCCTTGTTTTTAAAAACAGATGTAAAACTCTCTTAAGATCTTTCCTCATACAAAGATCAACTGATACTAAAAACAAAGTGAGGAGAGAAGACAGATTATCATTAATCGGCGACCAAGTTCTGTGTAAACACAGTGACAAACCTCTATTCGATAGTAATTGATAGTAAAAACAACTCTACCCTAACAACTACCCTAATTAACCTTCTTGCTCAGTGTGTGCCAACTGGGTGTCTGTCAACTGGGTGTCTGTCAAATGGGAGATAACCTCTGAAGGGTAATAAATTCTGTTACTCACATGAACAAATAATTCAGTTTAACTCGCCGCCATATAGCTGGAATACTGCTGAGTGCGGCGTAAAACTAAACTCACTCACTCACTCACTCAACACAAATTACTTTCACGCAAATATGTAAGTATGCGCGGATATCTACCTCAATGAAATGGTGTGACAGTTCCAGCAACCGTCATATCGGCGCCTACTGGAAATTGGAAATATTGTGAAGATCGTGCTTTTCACGTGTATACTATTAACAGGAAAGTCTATCACGCGAGAGTTCAAGAACGCAATGAAGGGCAGAGAATGGAGTGCACGCTACAGGGCGCATGTGAACGGCAGATGCTGATTAAACCGTGTCCTTGAAGGTTTCATTTTCAGGACAAATGTCTCCGTTGTAACCCTTTATTGCAATGGCGTCATTGGTGAATATCGAAGGACGCGAAGTCTATTATTTCAGGATAAAATTTATTATAACGGGATTTTTTCCATTGAAACGAAAAGTAAGCGTCTCATCTCATTATGAAGATTGCAACGTTGGCACTTTTCCAATGAAAGGAGCACCTTGCAATAAACAGAAGTGTGGCGTGCACAAACACAAGCAAAGTCAAGTCAACTATTCATGTAAAAACATCGGAACTTGTGAAACAAGACAATATCGGGAACCGCATTGGAGACAAATTTTGTCACTGATACGATAGCACAATTGCAATGCCGATG